TCCCGCAGCTGCATTCCAGCATCATCAGCATTGGTCAGCTGGATGAGCGCGGTAGCGAGGTTCTGATCAAGGACGGCGTTCTGAGGATCAGAGACCGGGAGCAGCGACTTCTCGCCAAGGTGAAGAGGTCCCTGAACCGGTTGTACCTACTCGACCTAAAGGTAGAGCAGCAGGTTTGCCTGGCGGCAAGGCACTCCGAGGAACCGTGGATGTGGCATGCCCGGTTCGAACATCTTAGCTTCGACGCGCTTGGTCGGCTGGGGAAGATGGTCCGAGGGCTACCCCACATCAAACACGGAGGTGAGCTGTGTGACAGCTACCTGGCCGGGAAGCAGAGGAGGCTACCTTTTCCAAAGGCAGCCAAGTATTGCGCGAAGGAAGCTCTCGAGCTAGTTCACGGCAACCTCTACGGGCCGATCACGCCTGCTACATGCGGTGGTCGGTGGTACTTCCTCCTACTCGTGGATGATTGTAGTCGCTACATGTGGCTGCAACTCCTGACGAGCAAGGACGATGCGGCGGTGGTGATCAAGAAGTTCAAGACGCGCGTAGAGGCCGAGAGCAGCAAGAAGCTCCGCGTACTGAGGACTGATCGGGGTGGTGAATTCACTTCGGTGGAGTTTGCTACGTACTGCGCGGATCAGGGTGTGGGACAACATCATACCATGCCGTACTCGCCACAACAGAATGGCGTGGTGGAGCGATGGAACCAGACGGTCGTCGGCATGGCCCGATCCATGATGAAGGCCAAAAGGATGCCGGTGAAGTTCTGGGGAGAGGCGGTGACCACGGCGGTGTTCATCCTCAACCGCGCTCCAACAAAGGCCCTGACGGGCAAGACGCCGTTCGAAGCTTGGTACGGGAGCAAGCCGAACGTGTCATTCCTCCGGACATTCGGTTGCATCGGCCACGTCAGGAAGACGAAGCCGAACCTCACCAAGCTGGAGGACAGGAGCACACCCATGGTGTTCCTGGGCTACGCGGAGGGTACCAAGGCGTACCGGCTCTATGACCCATGCGGAGACAAGGTGACTGTCTCGCGCGACATTGTGTTCAACGAGGAGGCGGCTTGGGACTGGAACAGTTCGAGCACGGGGGAAGCAGGAGGCTTCCCCAACACCTTCATCATCGAGCACTTGGTCATCCACGGCGGTGGAGACGCTGCGAAACAGGTGCCACGCACTCCGGGAGGAGTGCCGAGCACTCCGGCAGTAGAGTCGAGCACTTCTGGGGCAGTGCCGAGCACTTCAGGAGGGATGCTGAGCACTCCAGGAGGAGTGTCGAGCACTTTTGGAGGGATGCCGAGCACACCAGGAGTGGAGCCAGGAGGTTCTGCAGTGGTGGCGACCACTTCAGGACGGGTGCCGAGCACTCCCGTGGAGGAGCCAAGACGTCTTACTGTGGTCCCGACCACTCTAAGACTGAGGCTGGGCACTCCTACAGTGTGGCCGAACACTGCAGGAGTTATGACGAACATTCTAGAAGCAGTACCGAGAACTTCGGGTGCTATGCAGGGCACTCCGGTGGAAGAAGGAACTCCATCACCCCGATCGAGTTCGCCTCACCTCGAAGTGACATCACTGAGTTCGTGGACGCCTACCACGAAGGTGAGGAGTTGAGGTTCCGCAGGCTGGACGACATCGTCGGCGGCACAGGTCCCTCAGGTCTGGCGGGTAGGCTGCTCAATGACGCAGAGCTGCTACTCGTCAGTGCAAAGGAACCACCCATGTTCGCGCTAGCTGTGCGTGATGGAAACTGGCGACGGGCGATGCTAGAGGAGATGAAGGCGATCGAGGAAAACGAGACTTGGCAGCTCATCGATCCACCTCCAGGATGCCGTTCGATCAGCCTGAAGTGGGTGTACAAAGTCAAAAGGGACGAGCTCGGTGCCATTGTCAAGCACAAGGCGCGCCTCGTCGCTCGAGGCTTTGTCCAGCGCGAGGGCATCGACTTCGAGGAGGTCTTTGCGCCAGTAGCGCGCATGGAGTCGGTCCGTTTGCTACTTGCTTTGGCGGCAGCAAAGGACTGGCGCGTCCATCACTTGGACGTTAAATCGGCCTTCCTCAACGGCGAGCTGGCGGAAACAGTCTTCGTCAGGCAACCTCCAGGGTTCGCTGTCAAGGGAGAGGAGCATAGGGTGCTCCGACTGCGCAAAGCGCTCTACGGGCTGTGGCAAGCCCCTCGAGAATGGAACGTCAAGCTTGACACTACACTGGGCAAGCTTGGGTTTCAAAGGTGCGCAACCGAGCACGCGCTCTACACACGACGACGGGGGAGGGAAGAGCTCGTGGTCGGCATGTATGTGGATGACTTAATCGTCACCGGCGCGCGCACGGAGGATATCAACAGCTTCAAGTGAGAGATGGTAGCTCATTTCCGAATGAGCGATCTCGTCGCTCTATCCTACTACCTCGGCATCGAGGTGAGACAGGGGAAGGAGGAACTCACGCTCGGGCAAAGCGCGTATGCCTCCAAGCTGTTGGAGAGGAGTGGCATGGTGGAGTGCAAGCCATGCGTGACTCCAATCGAGGAGCGGCTGAAGCTGACGAAGGCCAGCACCGCGGCGAAAGTGGATGCAACACTCTACCGGAGCATCGTCGGCGGTCTGCGCTATCTAGTCCACACGAGGCCAGACATTGCGTTCGCCGTGGGCTACGTTAGTCGCTTCATGGAGGATCCCAGAGAGGATCACTGGGCTACGGTGAAGCGGCTACTACGCTACGTCAAGGGGACGGTGAATCATGGAATCATCTTCCCAAAGACCGGCGGGAGTAGGCTACAGCTCACGGTATTCAGCGATGCAGACATGGCGGGGGACATCGACGGACGACGGAGCACCTCTGGCGTGCTCGTCTTCCTCGGGTCAGCCCCAATTTCATGGCTGTCGCTGAAACAGAAGATGGTGGCGCTATCTACGTGCGAGGCAGAGTACGTAGCGGCGGCCACAGCGGCGTGCCAAGTTGTGTGGCTACGCCGGCTGCTGGGCGAGCTGACCAGCGTGGAAGCTCACCCACCAGCACTGATGGTGGACAACTAGCCCGCCATCGCCCTCGCGAAGAATCCGGTTCTGCACGACCGGAGTAAACACATCGACGTAAAGTTTCACTTCCTCAGGGACTGTGTTGATGGAGGGCAAATCGTCATCGAGTTCGTCGAAACTGCTCGGCAGCTCGCATATGTCCTCACCAAGCCGCTCAGACGACTTCGACTCACGGAGCTGAAGGAGATGATCGGTATGGAGGGGGTACAAGGGTTAGCAGTAGGATTAGGGAAAGATTGTTAGCTAATCTACTGCCACCTTGTATGAACACAGCAGAGGAAGGCGGCGCCGACTTAGCCGCCTGCTGTGTGTGAACACAGCAAGGGAAGGCGGCGCCGACTTTGCCCCCTGCTATGATACAGTAGCCGCTGCAGGTGCAGGCGCCGCACGGCTCACCTGCAGCACTGTAGGAACAGGCAGTGGCCGGCGCAGAGTCAGCCCTGTCAGGTTATCTAGTTACTGTGCCAGCATGGGCGCTGCACATGGACTAGATAGTTAGAGTTGTATAAATAGACATGTATGGCAACTCAGTAAAGAGAGCTCAGATTTGCCATCACACAGACAGGGCCTCGGCCAACGCTGTTGTCTTGTATTGTGCGTGCTTGCTCTGTTCTCCCTTCTTCTCCCAACTCCGTCCGTAGTGTGTGGGTACGGACAACGCCGGTACGTGGTCTGCACGGCTAGTGGGTGCTCGGCAACACTAGCGCGTGCTCGGCGAGACCGTCAAGTGCTCCACTCGCCTGAGCCGGTGCTCGGCAAGATCGGCTAGAGTGGTTCACTGTCGTGAGCCGGTGATCCTGTGAGACCAACGGAGTGGTCTGGAGGCTATCTGTAGTGGTCTGGAGGCTATCTCGGTGGTCTGGAGGCTATATGTAGTGGTCTGGAGGCTATCTGTAGTGGTCTGGAGGCTAACTGTGGGCAACATGCAATAGAATGATTTAATCATTTTGCAGAAAATTAATTGCAGAATGACGTGTACACCACTCATCTAGTTCATTTGAAGAGAGATATGAATACAATGTACTCAAGCTAAGACAAAGTGCTCTAGATGTGTACTCGAGTAGAGTCTTAGAGGTGCAAGAGCGTGGTGGAGGGGAGGAGTCCCTAGGGTTACAAGCAGTGACGAGCCAATGCATCTGGCTCAGACTTCACGTCGCCCAACAATCAACCAGATCGTGCTAGCATTGCTTCCGATGTTCCTTGGCTTTGGTGTGGTCAATCTTCATGAATATTTTTGTAGTACCTCTCGTGCACCATTTTAACTATGAAGGAAAGGTGTATGTGGAGAGTTTCTCCTAGAAAGAGAGTTCCTCGCACACAAAGCACATATGAGACTACAAATGGTGAAACAATGAGTTAGTGCTATTGGATCCGTGTGGGACTACAAGCGGGGAACCTCAGTTATTTGTGGGGGCAATCTGCATGTGTCCGAATGCATGTTTTATAACCAGAAGTAATGGTGGTAGCTAGATCCAACGGTGGAGAAACAAGTAATATGTGGCACCGGGTCAACTCAAAACCGGACAATGATGTCATTATGTCATTGCTAGGTCAAGTCATGATCTAGTATTGGCATATCACTGCTGGGTGGTGATATGAACCAACAGTGATATCTCACCTATCACTACTGGTTAGTGGATAGATCTGTCAGGGATATATTACTTCTGGGTTGTGGCTGCACCACTGTCGGGTCTCTCGGATCCATAATCATGAGCCGGATCCTAGTATTATGACCCGATAGTGAAGTGAAACAAGACCACTGCCGGCTCCAGCATATACGGCAGCGTTGGATGAGAAGGGATCGTCTGTTTTTTTATTGTACTACTGTAGTAGTGATTCCTCGATGGGCGAAAATTCGATCGGTCTATTATATATATGTACACAAAGACGACGAATGCTCTCCAAACACACAAAACGTAGCTCTCTATACTTTGTAGCTGAACCTAGCTCCTCATCCACCATGCGCATGCAGTCCCTCGTCTTCCTTATTACGGCAGTGCTCCTGATCTTGTCGACGGCGACAGCCGACGACGAGGTGATGACGGAGTTCGTTCCTTTATACTACACGTGCAGCGAGGATGGTGGCCGGTACGGAGAAAACAGCACGTACTTGTCTAACCTGAAGGTGCTGGCCGGGTTGCTCTCGGCGAACGCAAGCACAGCCAACTTCGTCTCCGGCACCGCCGGCCAGGCGCCTGACGTGGTCTACGGCTTCGTGCTCTGCCGCGGGGACTACACTGGCGCCACCTGCCGCAACAGCCTCTACAAGGCTTTCCAAACGCCGTTGACAAGGGCTTCCTCTGCCGGTTCTACAAGGACGTCACCATCTACTACGACGACTACATGCTCCGCTTCTCCGGCGACGACGTCCGCCGGAACCTCACTAACAGGCCGGCATGGGTCGCGTTGAACATGAACAGCGTGACTCGTGTCGCCGGCAAGAATTACGGTGAGAAAGTCGAGAAGCTGACCAAGATGATCGTGGAGGTGGCCGCAAGTTCGCCGGGCCGCTACGGCACGGGGAAGGCGTGGGTGGGAGGCAACGACGTGAGCACGGCTTACGGGCTGCTGCAGTGCACGCCTGACCTCCAGACGGATGACTGCCGGGGCTGCCTCGCCGATCTCGTCTCCATGATGCCGGCGCACTTCAGTCACGAATCCAGTGACTACTACGTTGGCGGGAGGATTCTTGGCCCCCGGTGTAACCTGCGGTACGAGAAAGAGCTTTTCTTCCAGGAGACCAATGCCACGCTCCTGATCGATGTGCCTAAAAGTAAGTACGTAAGTACAAACATATATACTCATTTTTATTTAAGAGAGAGAAAAAAATAGATGTCTAGGTATAACTGCATGTAGTCAGGTTTTTTTTTAAAAAAATGGCCATAAATTAAGATGATATTGTTCTAGCCAAATTCAAATTTCTTTTACTTAACTTCAACTAAAGGAAAGTTAGGTTTATAGTATGAAAAGCTCTTCGATTTAGTAAGAATAATATCACTAAAAGACTATTGACCTGGGAAAATGTCACTAAAGTTACACCCATTAATTAATATACAACTACTCGGTGCCAACTTAACTGCTGCTTTGTTCCGCACCCGCCGGCCAGCATCTCTTCTTCGGGTTTTGCTTGCCAGTGCATCTCAATCCAGTATGATGGGGCTCGTTGTTCCAATTAGCATTCCTGCACCTAATAAATCCTTTTGAAATTTAGTGTTGGTGCATGATTGGAGTTAGTCACACATATACCATGTATTTTTACAAATTAAAACAAACTATTTTGACTTTTTTATCATTTACAGATCACCTCGGCAAAATGGAGATCATTCTAATCACCATTGCAGCTGTTCTCTCTATCATAATTCTTATAACTCTACTCGGATGGATCATACAATGGAAAGCAGGTATACATTATTAAGGGCATGTATGGATCCCCTACTCCTTTAAACTTTAGAGCTCTAAAAACTTTAGAGCACTTTAGCTCATTTTTGAGGTGTAAAGCTCTAATATAAGGTAGACTAAAGTTTAGAGCTAACGTTAGACCACCTATTTAGAGCTTTAGCTCTAAAGTTTAGAAAGAAATTTGACTTCTACGGAAATATTACGTACTGAAGAGAAAAACACACGTTTCTACTTCCTCGAATAAAAAAAAACACCTGCATGTTTCTTAGAGGATGCCCTACCGCCTATCTAGCTACCCCAGCAAAACATGTTCAATGAATGAAGACATAAGGTTATCATAAACTTTAATATTTTAACGACCATGATATGTGTACTTTCTCTTTGTTAATGATTCGTTGGAAAATCTTTTAATATATATTGTGTGGTACTCCATTCCAAATTAACTGTCGTTTTTTATTTTCGTGCCGCAAGTTTGACTCGATTTATAGAAAAATACGTGCAATATTTATATCTCCAAATAAATTTGTTAAAAAACTAGATTCAAAGATATTTCGGAAGATACTAATTATCTACCATAAATATTTATTTAGTCAAAGTTGTTTCTTGGAAAACAAAAAACGACAGTTATTTTGGGATGGAGGGAGTATTTGTGAAGTTTTATTCATGTTTTTATCAGCAGAAACAAAGCAAACTGAGTCCATATGAAACAGTAACTAGCCACCCCTTAAAATTTAGGTTTTATTGGTGTAATTGCTAAACTAATAGATAATGGTAATATTCATTAGTTTGGTCCTCAGTATAGGATAGCTTTATTGGTGCAATTGTTTTGGCTATGCACCTGGACAAGTCTTGTTCAGCTACACTGCAATCGCTTATACGTACTTTGGAAGGAAGGTAGTATAAACAATGGCCTTAACTTAGGTTACTGCAAGTCCTGTCGCTGTGTATAATAATATGACGCGAGTTTTATCCAGTTTTTCTATTATCCAAAATTTTGCATTATATAATATAAGTGAGAAACAATAATGTGTTTTCTGAACTTTTTATTTGTGTTTTGCAATACTTGCTGTGATGCTATTTGCACTGAAAAACTAGACACAAAAATCAGAAATGAGCTAGAGGAATGGACAAGACTGGTTGCTGTGGAGATAGGAACGATGTTTGCACACTTTACTTTATCTGAGATAAGAAGTGCCACTGATAATTTCTCAGAAGCAAAGAAACTTGGAGAAGGAGCTTTTGGTCCCGTTTACTGGGTAAGTGAGTTATAATTGTATGCCAACTATGTGGGACATTAGCACTATTTTTAATGATAAATAACATGAGAAAAGAAAAACACAACTATAATATCAATTGTGATAAAGAAAAAATTGGGTGATGCATAAAAATCACATATAAAATTGAAATACATGAAAGTAGAGGTTAAAGAAGCTCATAGTTGTACGAGAAGAGTTATTTTACACATCATTAGATTAGATCAGAAATTGGTTCCCCTGGCTATGAATGTATTCATGTTTTCCACACTGAGATCCAAATCATTTTAGTGGGCACTATAAATAAATCCATATTTAAGATTTGTTACTTATTTCATCGGCACTTCATGATATACAACTCAATGTCTCAGTGATGTGTAGGTAAAGCAGCTAAAATAGTAGTAGGATAATCAGTGTCAAATCCTAAAATGGCAACGAAATGAGCTGGTTTTTCTCTCCATTGTGGTATTCCAATTATCCATCCCATTATGTTACATGTTCAAAAGCATTACAAGGATAACCAAGCAAACTCTTTCAAAGCAATCTCCAACAAGCTCATTCTACTGATAGTAAATTCAAATCCTTATCTCTATGTCATATATTCATATTACTGAAATCTCCATAGTGTAGACCGCATCTTTATCAAATGTTCACAATAATGATTAGAATAATGTTGCCATCATCTTTCTACTGATATGAAGAACAGTATGTGCAGTTAGCCAACAGCTTAAAAACATGAGTGCCTTTTTGCACAGGGTCAATTAGCTTCTGGAGTTGTGGCAATCAAAAGATTAGCAGCATATTCAAGTCAAGGTTTGGAACAGTTCAGAAATGAAATTAGATTCATAGCAAAGCTTCAACATTTAAATCTTGTCAAGCTGATTGGTTGCTGTATGCAACAAAAAGAGAAGATACTTATCTATGAGTACATGCCGAACAAGAGCTTAGATGACATTTTCAAAGGTATGCTCAAACTGTTCACCACAAGACAACACACCCCCCCCCGGCCCCCTTTTGATCAAGAAAGTTATATATTGTCATTCACAAATGTATCCTTGCAGATGCTGCGAAGTGGGCATCGCTGACATGGCCTCTGCGTCAGAATATAATTGATGGCATTGCTCAAGGACTTCTTTACATACACAACTTTTCACAATCAGAAACATGCATTGTCCACAGAGACTTGAAAGCAAGTAACATTCTATTGGACCATCAAATGAATCCAAAGATTTCTGATTTTGGGATAGCGATGCTTAGCTCAAGCGCGACAGAATCACAAGATACTGTACCAATGGGAACACTGTAAGTACATAAGTAAATTTGGGTTGTTTAGCTCTAGTGCAGCAGCACATATATAAGTAAATTTGTATTGTCATGGCGTAAAATTGGGATAATACGGAGATGCATTACATAAAAGTGAATATAGACAAGATACAATTTGCAAAGTTTTTACAGATGGATATATGTAGTGTACATTTCAATATGCATTTTATCTTGCCTAGGTTATCTGTATTATCAAGAGAGACCACTATCAGTGCTGTATGCAGAAAAAAAAAATCTAACAATAGTGACGTTTAGCTTACTATATAATGATACAGTACAAATAGCAAAGTTTAACTCAATTGCAGCAGGACATATATATGTAGGTTTGAACTACCATGGCATAAAAATGGGATATGGAGATGCATCACATACAAGGGAACGTAAACAAGCGACAATTTTTACTGTTTCAGGAATGGATTTATGCAGTATACATTTCAGTATGCATTTTATTGCCTAGGTTATCTGTCTTAGCAGGAGAAAACATTTTTGTATGAAAAAAGGGAAAGGGAATATAGTGCACAAAAGATAAATGATCAACGTATGTTTTTTTTTGGACAAACTGGAAAGAAAAAGGTGGTCTGCCGGGAGGTGACAAGTAGCCTCCCGGCAGCCAGTAACAGGAGCTCGAGATGTTCAAGTTGGAAGCTGAGTTGACTAAATTTGCCATTTGCTTTTGTATGACTATATGAATAAATTGCTGATTTATTTTTCTTTCCCAGTGGTTACATGGCGCCTGAGTGCTTCCATGGGAGTAGCATCTCAGTGAAGTCTGATGTTTTTAGCTTTGGAGTCTTGATTTTGGAGATAATAAGTGGAAGGAAAGTTGCGACTAGTTTCCGTCGATACAAAAGATCAGACAATCTGATGGCTTACGTGAGTAATCTCTTGTATAAAAGAACAATTTTGTTGAGTAACTGTACCACCTGCTTTCAAGGTTATCAGGCCAAATGATCTACTTTTGGAACAGGCTTGGCGACTTTGGGAGGACGGAAACTGTAAGCAGCTCATCGACAACTCTCTAAGTGTTGAGGAACATAAAAAGAGAGTCAGAAATAATCAGGTGCATTCAGATTGCGCTCCTATGTGTTCAGGCCAACCCAGAGGACAGGCCTGACATGGTAGAGGTTGTCAGGATGCTAAGCATCAAGGGCACCCAGCTGGACAATCCTAAACGACCTGCTTATTTCGATGAACTCATAGTGGCAACAACAAGCAACCATACCAGCACTCGGTACCTCACAGCCATACATGTCCATCCAGCTTAATAGAAAGTATCTGAATGATGCACAACAGACTGTTTCCCTTCAGGTTATAGCATGTTTGCATATGTTTTACTGCAACCTTTTCATGGTTTGCTCTTTATGTCACTCTCGAGTCAAACCAACCGCTTATACATGAGGTTTGTACAAAGTGATCAGAAAATGAAGTTGTCATTCCTAACTGGAGGATAGATGTACAGTTATTTTAGTGACTCCAGTTTCCTTAACAAATTTAGGCTATCCATAAGGCCTTAAAGTCTGTTACTCAGAAAAGGGTTGTATGCAATTCCTAGCAAAAGGAAAGATACTAATTTCCTGCATGGTTGATTTGTAAACAGATCAATCAAAAACCAGTAATGCTCAGGGTCGGGCGTACGTCCGATCGGACGCCGCGCTTCCCAGGCCTACGAGGCTACCGCCCAACAACCATGCCTCCTCCTTTATACGTCTCCCCATCTCTCTCAAAAATATCTTCCTACTCGCCACCCATCGACGCTCACAGCGTCGCATGCGGCCGTCAGCCCCCCACTCCGCATTCGACGCAGCGCCCATCTCCCCAGCGTGCCCCCATCTTGCGCCGCTCGCTCGCTCCTCGCTCCAGCCCGTTACGCGCCCCACCCGCGCCTCTTGCTCCTTGCTCCCGCAGTCCCACCCACCGCGCGTCCACCCACGCCATCGGGTGCGCCGCCTGCCTCTGCTGGCGCTAGTGGTGCCATCGCGCGCCTTAGGTCGGTCCCCACCAAGCCAAGGGCACCCACGAAGCGTGTCCCGTGCTGCCGCTCGACGCCGGCTCCCACTCCGAGGCCAGAATCAACCGGCTCTGGCCTCTCTTTGCCCCTGTTGCAAATGTATGTTTCAAGTCTTTTAGATGTTATAAGAGGTATGTTGCAAGTGTTTTATATGGATGTTGCAAAAGTAGATCGGGATGTTGCATATGTTGCAAGTGTTTTAGAGGCATGTTGAAAGTGTTACAGAGGCATGTTGTCAGCGTTTGTTCAAAATGTTTCATCTTATTGCAAGCGTTTTTTATCTGGATGTTGGCCATGTTTCACAAATTTGTTGTAGTATGTTCAAAATGTTTAAGTTGTTTCAGTCTTATGTTGCAATAAGTGTTTTCATGTTGCAAGTTGCAAGTGTTTTATCTTTATGTTGCATATGTTTCATACACATGTTGCAAGTGTATGTTCCAAATGTTTCATCTGCTTCAGATATATATTGCATTCAAGTGTCTCATGTTGCATGTGTTTTGTGTTTTAGAGGTATGTTCAAACAATCATGAGGGCATGCCCAGGGTGCTGGGGGAAGGGGTGCGGCATGCCTGGAGTCCTGCGGATGAGGCGTGCACATCCTCATCCTGGCTCCTGGTCCCGCCAGCGCAGAGAGAGAGAGAGGAGGAGGAGGAGGTCAGGGGGGAGGAGCGGCGGTGTCGGCCCCTCAATTTGAGAGTCCTCAGTGCATCCGTATTTGTGCTAGGATCACGCACAAATACGCACTGATCATAGGGATGGTACACAGATATATATATATTAAAAGGTTTCGAGCTTTATTGATATCTAGAAATAGGGTCTTACAATAGTAGCCCAAGGGGCATGGTCATAGGCTACATATCTAGAGGAAAGCTACGGCCGTGAAACGACATTATTGGTGGTTTCTAAAGCGGTATTATTATACAGCGAAGCAACATCCTATTCCACAGGCAACTTGAGCGTGGACGAAACCCTAGCCTCGATGTCACATTCCTATGATCGTATCTCCTTACGGGAAACCTAATCCTTGTGGTACGCTTCATCTTCGAAGTCATAGTCTTCTTCTGTGCTGAGGTCTGTGAGTCAACAACGGGTGAGTACATACATACCAGTAAGCCCTAACCATAGGGTGAAAATACAGTGTAGTGGTGATTATAATTAAGGGTTGGGTCCTAGTGGAATATTACCATTCCCACTAGCGCCCGGGTTAACATCAATTATGTTACTAGTTTCATTACGCATAAAAGTAAAGCTAATCATAGTATCTCATCCTAGCATTTGCCCATTCCAAGGCCATGGCTATTCAAATAGATTTAATAAACTCTACAGAGGTGTACAAATTTCCCCACACGATAGGTTCAACCTCATCCATGATCAGTGGATGAAATAGACCTAAAGAGATCTCGTACCCGAATGTACGTGACCTTAGATGTCCATATAACTCTACTACGGCTTCTCAGGGGTTGGAACACAAAACCGGGAAGATACCAAATCCCCCCAAATGTGATGATACCAAATCACCACAAAAGATAAACATGGCTCGAACATGGCCAAGAAAACAGTGGCTCGAACGTGGAAGATCACATAGCATCCACGCCAACCGGACACGAAAGAAAACCTATCCCAATTATCGGCACTTGACAATCCGCTGCCTACACCAGCCTCCTATAGATATTATACCTCTATCTAAAGGGTTGTGAGATCAAGCCTACCCATATAGACATGTGGCTATACGAAATAACTCACTAGGCGAGAGAGACTACGAACCGGTCCTTATGTGACCGAGCCAAGTATCTCCCATAGGAATCCTCTCCAGGCATCCCTACCATAATAAACTACCTCCGTAGTTTACCACTACTCGCCCCATGTCGGGGTTTAGTTTTAGGTTTAACAAGTTTTAGGTACCATTATTATCCCCAAATCTAGTCATGGTGAGGAGCTCATAAAATAACAAGATAACCATTTATCTTAATTATATCGCATTAACCGAGCTCATTCTCTAGGGTAATAATCTCATAGTCATGTTTTAGCATTTCAGTGGTTTAAAGAAAGATGGTAGGGAGGGGAGCTAGTGATGAGGACATCAACACTGACACGGGAATGGCTACTCCAACTGAACCAGCACAGGCGCCACCAGGACCCATCACTCGAGCTCGTGCACGTGAATTAAACTTCGTGATGATTTTGAAGAATGAAGGACCAGAAGTTTCCTAAGTGCATGCGCCATCTATGCTCATGATGAACCTGCCCAGAATAATGTCTAGGTGCTGCGCCACCTATGTGTTTTTAGTTTTGTCAAGAAATAACCAGGAAGGTGCTGCACCATCTAAATCAGGAAAGGGAATCAAGGAGATGGTGTGTGGCTGTTTGGGCGCCTATTCCCTACCTTGTGGGCAGGCTGGGCGTCCTCCTTCCTCCCTCCTCCCCCTATTTAGCCAAGGGTTGCGCCCCCTCTTTGGCTTGGGTTTTGTTTTGCTTAAGTTAGCCATTGCTACTTCCGAAGCTTCGTCTTCGTGTAATTCAGAACCCCACCTTCGAGTAATATTCAGGGTTGCTCACCTCAAATTCTTGCTTGTTCTTCGATTGCCTGCAGGAATTGATCTTCGTGATCAGGTTGATCTCGCACCAGCAAGGTCAATAACCATCGGGAGTTGGTTCAGCGATTGCTAAGGCGCCACGGACTTGTTCGTCGTAGTCGGATCGCGAGGGTCGACACCCACCAAATCGTAGTTATCCTCCACTCACCGAAAGATCGGGTACTCCAGCTCTATCAAGTGGTATCAGCTTTCAGGTTGCTCGGTGAGATCTATCCCCTTTATTTGTAGTTTTGTTCATCGTCCTATCGTCCACCAGAAAAGCCAACAAAAAACGTTCAGTGGTTTAAAGAAAGATGGTAGGGAGGGGAGCTAGGACTTGCCTTTGTCGTTGTAACCTTCCGACATGTCTACGAAATTCAGGTCTTCATCCTCTTGACGATTACCATCGTCTATCGGACGTATTGGTCGAATAAGACTTCCGCTATACATGAAAGAAAATGCAAAAGCAAACATAGAACTATATGGTGGCACTAGTTGCAAATGTAGGGTTTGATTTTAGATGAATTTTAGAAGTGGTTTCATTCAAAAAAGAGTTAGGGTTTAAAAGTTATGTATTTTAGAAGTTTACTCTATAGAAAATTAACTAGGGGGAATTTTATATGCATTTTTTGGTGCATAAAAATAGGTGCAAACTGTATGGTTAATTTCCTTAATGCATCTAGTTTATTTACAAATTTTCTAGGAATTTTTCTAAGCTAGTAAAATGAATTTCTAACTCTCTGTGTACACTAGCCGGGTGTACCCAGCATTTTCTAAAGTGTACCCCGTGCTGTGTGTGAGGGGTGTGTGTGTGTGATAGGTGGGCCACCTACTTGCGTCAGCAGTGATGATGGCATCGGCGTTAAAGCTGTGGGCCCACATGTCAGTGAAGGAGGGGAGAGAGGGAGGGACTGACGGGGACGGAGGGGGACGACAACACCGTTTCCTCCTAGTCCCACCTGGTGGAGACATAGAAGGGGGAGGAGGAGGAACGGCGGTGGACGGAGGTGGCCACACCAGTGACGGAACAGGGGAGGGGGAGCTAGGCTCACCTACACCGACGGCGTCGGCCTTCAGAGGTGGTGGATGAAGGGTGGACGGGGTCCGCGGGGTCACGTCGTAGCCGGTGGCGGGGTCGCCATCGGCAACGGGTGCCAATGGCGGCGGTGGTGGCTCGCCGAAGTGGTCGCGGCGGCATTGTGCACTAGACTAGGTCCTAGAGGCCCTATACTACTCAGCTAACTATGTGTACGTGAGTGCGGGTGAACTAGAAGTGCAGTGGGGGTGGTGATGTGCCCTAGGGTGGTCTCGCAGGTGATGGCCGATGGCCATGGTGGCTCGGCGGAGCAGGGCTTACGCGGGCAGCGCACTACAGAGACCTAGGCTACCAACATCTATAGAAAAGGAAAAGTAGAAGCTTGGGGACTCACCGGTCACTCTAATCGACCAGAGACACAACGGAGAAGGAGAAGAGAGGGGGCGGCGCTGATGGCGCCGGTAGACTCCCGAATTGGGGAAAACTGGAAGAAAAGGGGAAAGAGGAGGGGAAAAGGGAAGAGGAGGGGGAGATGAGGTGTTCCTGCCCTCGGTAGAGCTGGTGGTGGAGAGGACGAGGTGAGAGAATCATTGGCTGGGCCTATTTATAGGTCGGCTAGCCGGTGTCCCGGCGGCGAGACATTTCTCG